TATTGTGAAGAACACAATCTTACATGGGAACAGCCTCTCTCTTTAAGTCGCATGAGCAAAGTTTAAGTTATTTATTTATATTTACTTTGTTCTTACAGGGATAAACTCCCCTTTGTATGTTGGTTTGCTATATATTCCACATTTCTGGTCCCTATTTCCCAAAATGCATTGGGAATATTGCCTGTATTGGGAATATTCCCTTAAAGAAATACGTCAGTTTTGCTTTCTTAACTATTACAGACTCCTGTATTTTTCATAAAGGTTGATGGATAGTGAAAAAAGCCTACAATTACTGTGAAATGTGTTCATGATTAGACAAATGAATTACTTAAAGGCTGCTGAGATGAATAGCTCCATTACCTTCAGCTGCTCAGGCTCCCAGGTGTCCAGAGTCAGTGACCTCACTTTGGATAGATGGACCCCCAGGCTCCTGTGACAAGAGACAGCCACCGTTATAAATCTTAATTATTAGCCCAAGGTGTCTGACTAGGAGTCTAGCAGAGGAGACATCAGCAACAGTTTTCAAGCATCCAAATATGTAGAGAGCAGATAGAGCACACTACAGTTTCTTTTTATCTAAAAAAAAGCAACAAGTTTCCAGTGACAAGCCTCACAGGACAGGTTCTCTCAGGATTGAAAACGCTGAACTGCAATTTGCTTTGCAAAGATGACGTTTTGTGCTTCATCTTTTGGTGGCTAAACAGAACATCTGATATATCCAAAATAAGCGGAAGCCTTCGTAAGCCTTCAGCTGATATTTTACTGTTGAAATAAATTAAACTTTAACTTGGTTTTCTTTAGATAACCGCCCTCTCCACCCACAACCCCATCTGTTATCAATGGATGAAAACACTGTTCCCCCCCAAGCATTAAAAAAGCCCACCATTTAAAAACTGGGGTGACCATTCACTTATACAGGAGCTCTTCATATTGAAATATCAGGCAGAGGGGAAACGGGAATATGACCCCCGCAGGTGCCGAGTCGGAGAAGGGGTACCTGTGAATGCCCGAACACTCGATGCAGAGCGTGATGCCCAGATTGACGCTGGCCCAGCGTGGCTCGAGCTCGCCGCAGTCACAGCACTGCCCATTCCCAGCACCCTCCAGGGCGACGCCCATGACCGCAGGCCTCGGAGCAGCCTGGCCCTGCTGCTGGGGCCGTATCTGGGGGGATGGGGGGCTCAGCGCCGCCTGGAAGCAGGAGAGCAGGACAGGAAGAGCGGGACAGGGAGCAACGGCACGGTGAATTCCAGTTTCCACCAGTTTGAGACAGATCGACAGAGCTGCCTATGGGGGCTGTGACCATTCCTGTCAAGTGTGTTGGAAAAACAAACTACAGATTCTAACAAAATCAAAAAGATGTAAACGGCCTATGTATATGATTTTTTTGGCTATAAGGTTATATTTTTTCCCTAAGCTTCAATTATTGACTTAATACTGATACAATCACCTTCACCAAACCTTTAATTAATCTGGGTTTCTGTGGTCTACAATGTAACAAACAGAAATTCTACATCAGGGAAACAAACATGCCAACAGCACAGTGGCAAGCACGCTGCCGAACAGCTCATACCTGTGTGTGACCGGACTCGGCTCTCTGGCGGTAGGCCATGTCAATGCTGCCCTGGACGGCACTGATCCAGGCCCGCCTCAGCTCTTCAGAGTCCGCCTGCAGGGCACAGCTCCTGGGGGACAAACATGCAGACGGCCTACGTGACTAGTGCTCTAGACCACGGGTTTTCAACCTGGGAGGCACGCCAGTGTCAAGGGTGGGCGCGAGATTACGAGACACTTTGGCGCAAACACGCAAGTAAAATGAAAAAGAAAGAAAAAACTGCAGCGAACATGTTGTTTCAGTCGTTAATAGCAATTCACTATTCATCCACTAGAGGGGGGTGTTGCAATCTGGCTCATGTCACTGGCTAAACAGGCTGCCTGCCGTCTATTCTCGCTGGCGAAGGCTACAGCAGAATTGCGACTTCGCATTATACCACGATTACAAACTTAAAAATGGACTGGTGTCTTACTGCTAAAAATAACAACAGCGGTGAATGAGAAACTGTTAAAGCAAATTAATGAAAGGTGCTGAAATGCATGTATGTATACATAATATCAATTATGTTGTGTTAGTGAGCGTGACGAGGGTGTTCGCATTGTTTTCTCAATGGGTTTTGGCTTGGGGGGCCCATGTCAAAAAGGCTGAAAACCCCTGCTCTAGACCACGGGTTTTGGTGGGTTTGAGATAACTGCATGTCGAAGGAAAAAACAGGAAATTCTAAGCAGGACTCACTTGTGGACTGATACGACTTCAAAGCAGAAGCGCCTGTCGATGTTGTCCAGCGACTTCACGGTGCACAGCCTCAAATCCTCCATCATGACGATGGCTTCCTCCTGAAGCAACAATGATGCATCACCATGAGCAAATTCTGCAGTAACCCTTCTGCCGGTCGGAACCAGCTGAAGACAGCTGGTTTTACTTTTACAAGGTGTAAGACCACAGCAGGTTCAGATAAGATGGAATTGGAAATAAATGGAGCAATATTTCATGTAAATATTTTTCAACTATTATTTGGTGTGTGGCATTTAGGGTGGCAAAGCGGTTGGCACTGGTGCCTTTGCAGCAACCCAGGGTCCTGGGTTCAATTCCAGGGGTGCTGTGTTCTGTGTGGAGTTTGTATGGTCTCCATGCGTTTGTGTGGGTTTCCTCCAGATGTTCTCATTTATTCCCACGGTCCAAAAACAGTGACTTTTGGGAACATTGGCCCTGGTGTGAGTGTGAGGGTGAGGGTGAGGGTGAGGGTGAGGGTGAGGGTGAGGGTGAGGGTGAGGGTGAGGGTGAGGGTGAGGGTGTGTCTGTCTGCCCTGCGATGGACTGGTGTCCTGTCCAGGTTGTATTCTGCCTTGCACCCGCTGCTTGCTGGGAAAGGCTCCGGCACCCCCACAGCTCTGAATTGGATGGGGTGGTTGGTAGATGGATGGTTAACAGTTAACTCGCAAGTTAACTTCAGACATCTGTAGACCAAAGGAATCTTACAAGACTTTGTTCACCTAGGAAACAGATCAGGAAGAAAGCCTTACCTTGTGAGATTTTGTGTACACGAGCTGATTGTTTTCTATGGAGAACCAGCATCTGAAAAAAGAAGGAAAACAAACGCACATTTTGATAACTACACAAAATTGCTCTTTAGATCCAAAATACCTTGTTGCATTAATGTGGGAGACTGATCGATCAGTTCCTACCTCTTCCAGGTTTTACTCTTTCTCCGGGAACGTTTGAAAAGGTAGCCCTCTATGGTCACTCCAGTCCCAGGGCTATTGGCCACCACAGCCTCCCCTGAGGCATCCTGGGAAACAAAAAGCACGTCAAGGCATCATGGGAAACTCTTCACCAGTGTTCCTACTCTCAAACAGCCACGACCCTACGGGTTTTGAACATTTTTTAACATGGCTATAGGGCCTTCTACAGGTGTGTGCAGGGTGGAGTTAACCTTTAAATGTTCCTTTGCTGCCAACACACACAGATGCTGCTCCCCATTAAACCATCTTTAATTGACAGTATTAATTATTTTCAATCATGCAAAAGATATGAGAATGACAGTTCAATGATTCCTTAAAGTTTTTCAGTTGAAAACAGACATTGTATATACCCACGGTTACTATTAGAAATAAAAGGGAGCCATTGGACTCATCTTGTTAGCTGTTAGCTGATCAATTCAAGCATGTCACCCACCTGGGTTGAGTTTGAAGATTATATAGTAGTGCAATGTCTGCAAAAGTGGCTGGATTGATATTTTGTAAAAAAAGGAATCATTAGGACAGTAAATCATTAGGACAGTAAAGTTCTTCTGGTAAATTCTTATTATCTTTTTTCGGTTCCAACAACCATTTCTTACCATGTCAGCTGGTTCTCAAGGAAACCGCTCTGAAGATGAGAAATGGTGTCCCAACCTTCAGAAGTTCCCCCCTAGTCTAGATGGGAAGGACAGTGGGAAGTGTGGGACTCACCCTTTGCTGAACTAGTAGATGGTTGTTCTCCATCTCCTTCCGTTTGGCTGTGCTGTCCATGGAGAGCTGGGCCAGCTGTCAGCACAAAACCATAAAGGGAACCTAGTCAGACAGCTCTCCTATCACACCTGGTCAGCCCAGGACAGTCCATAGGAGACAATAATCTCTCCTCATGGCGTACAGCTCCTTCTCAAATACTCTAAGGACTGCAACAAGCTCCATTCTCTTTCACCATATTGAAAGTGAAATAAAACAATAGTCAATAGTCAAAAGTTAAGCTAATGAAGACTCTAGAAGTGAAAGAAGCACAAGTATTTTCGCTATGGATTGGGCTCTGACCGATGCAGAATGAGCAATTAACCAATCAAGAGAAGTACCCATCTTCTCTCTCCGGCTGATCTTTATCACAAGAATTGTTTTAATAGCAGTGCAACAAAGCAAACCAGCTTCCTCATTAACCTCTCTATTTTGCGACCGACAAAGAGCAGCACTGACTGTTAGAGAGATCGGACACTGAGGTTGGGCAGCCGGGGCTCTTCCAGATCTATGCAAAAATGACGGAGAAATATTTTCAATCAGCCCCACAGAAGAAGAAGAAGAAGAAGAAGAGTGCTCAAACGTGCCAGTTCAACTGGCAATATTTTGGTCATTTTCTCTCCATTTCCCCCCCAGCATGGCAAGAAAATGTTGCACCACCTCAGTCTGAACTCTTTTACCTGGGTGGCCATCTTCTTCATGGCTGGCTCCAGGTCTTTGAGGAGATCATAGCCTTGATGGAAAAAGGTGTACTGGGCATGGAAATAGGAGAAGATCTGAAACAGCAGAGAACTTTCAATAAGCCCCATGCGTGGAATGCAAAAATGACAAGACTTTTAGCAAAGATGAAGCAGAAGTGTTTCAGGTTCTAGAAAGACAAGGATACATAAATCCATATATCAGAGAATAGGTAATGTAGCACTCAATTCATAAGAAGGGCGGCAAAACCATTCCAAGAAATTTTAGACCTTTAATATAATTCAAACCTCTATTAAATGTAAGATTCCGAAAACCAATTAGAGGCTGGATGGGCTGAACAGCCTACTCTCATTTGTGTCCTATCTTTTGCAAGACTGTTCTTTTGCCTCTGACTGCTGGAGACTCCTTCACAGCCTTCATCTGCTGTTTGTGCATCAGGACAGATGTCTTTGAAAAGTATACTCACCGAATTCAAGACATCCACCTTCTGTTGAGTCTTAAAATTATTCAGCTAGAAAAACAAGCCACAAAAACACACATTTACCAATATTTTCTTTTAATAGAATACATCTGAAAACGTTCACCAGATAAACTGAACAGGCAACACAATTTTCTTTGGAAACAGCAAAAACACAAGCACACTTTTGTCTAAAATTCACAAAACGCTCCTGTTAAATTGCAGGGTATTTCAATATTTTGTAAGCTAAATGTTTGCTAATTATAGTTTTGATTGTTGTTATTACTATATACAGTCTATATCAAATAGGTATTTGCCAAATACATAACTTTTACTTGCTGATATATGCAATATCTTGCTTGTGACATTAATCATGAACACGCCCATATTGATCTGCAGGAATAGAGTAAATATGACAGAGCTGAGAAGATATTAAACCTATTATCCAAGAGCAAACATTAACATCCTGTTGGCTTGCGTTCCCTAACCTGCAGTCCCTCTGTGTGGGAGTGCTCAGTATATTCTCATTTGTTTCTGTTCATCGTCTACTGATCACCCAGTATGAGGTCTTAAATCACAAATAACTGAGCAAATTCTTAATTAGCATGTTAGAAGAGAGATGGGATAAAGTGCTGAATGCTGAATTTGGTAGTACCTCAGCTTTGAAACCAAGGCTTGAGTACCAAAAACAAACAAACAAGGAGATCAAGCACCAACACCTAGTAGCTCTGGTGATTAAGAGACCGGCTGGAATGAAAACCACAATACGACACGACACAAACTGCAGGGACGTATCGGTACTTTCAACTCTTAAGGTTCAAATGTTATTCCACAAGAACAGACAAAAATAATAATAACTCCTTATACTTATATAGTGCTTTTCTGGACACTCCACTCAAAGTGCTTTACAGGTAATGGGGACTCCCCTCCAGCACCACCAATGTGCAGCACCCAACTTGATCATGTAACAGCAGCCATAGTGCGCCAGAACGCTCACCACACATCAGCTGTCAGTGGGGAGGAGAACAGATTGATGAATCCAATTCATAGAAGGGGACTATTAGGAGGCCATGATTGGTAAAGGCCAATGGCAAATTTGGCCAGGAAACCGGGGTAACACCACTACTCTTTTGAAGAGACACTCTGGGATTTTTAATGACCACAGAGAGTCAGGACCTCAGTTTTACATCTCATCTGAAGGACAGCAAAGGATTTTTTACATATGGTTTCCCCGTCACCCTAGCTTTCCCAGGAGGTCTCCCATTCAGGTACTGACCAGGTTCACACTGCTGAGCTTCAGTGGGTTACTAGACAACCCTGCCGGCCACACACAGTGCCTCTCCTGCGCTCACGATGGCTCGTTTAAGATCGGGCTGGTGGCGAGACTCAGGACAGTGGGCCTACCTGCAGGCAGTAGTCCAGGGCAAAGTGCTGGAAGCACTTGCGCGTGGCCAGGAGCAGGTGGCTCGCCTTCTCCGCGTCCAGGGCTCTGTGACGGGACGCCTGGGCGCTCTTCGCCCCCGCTGTCTCCAGGTCCTCCCCGATCCGCACGAAGTCCCGCCGCGTCTCCCGCAGCTGGGGCAGCTCCCTAGAGGGCGGCAGCGGTCAGCGTTAGGCCGCCCCCCGTGCCACTCGCCGAGGGCAGCTGCTCAACAAGGGGAGCTCAGCATGGGCAGGAGCAGCGCGATGGCATTCGCAGACAATCCAGTCCCCTCCGCCGACGGCACACTCAGCCCTCGTCAACCAAGAACTGTGCTTAGAGCTACACGGAGAGACACATATACAGACCTCTTTCTGGAACAGGTAAAGGTTCATTCCACGCCGAAAGGTATATAAAATAAACACAACGATTCGGAATAAACCTTTACCCGTTTCTTTGCCGTGCACACACGCTGATGCAGCTCCCTACTCACGCAGTCCTCTCTTCGTAGCACAAGTGAACCTTTTCTCACTAATACAGTATACGTGCTCAAGCGTGTGGCTCCTTCTCTATTCATTCATCCCTGGCCTCTCCAGACTCTTGCTGCTGTTCCCTGTCGCTACCATTCCCTCTTTTCAGACAGCCAAGCTTATATAATACACAAGACAACTTTCTACTTACTGTAAATCTTTTTGGGAAGACATCCAAAGACAGAGCAGCAAACAAGCTGATAATGCTAACTGTGCTCTTAAAGCACAGCGGCACTGTAAAATATGAAAGGTTCGTGCTACCCCAAAAGTAAAGCATCTACTGTATTCCAGGTTGGGTTTTTTCTCCTGTAATATAATTTAGATTTAACTTCATTTTCAATTTAGTTTTGTAATTTAAGGGGGGTGGGAGAGGTAAGAAGGCACCTGGCAATGCGAGGCTGGAAGTAAGCCATACTTGCAGATGTGCATTGCATAGAGTGCCGCAGGGAGTTAGTGCAGACTGGATGGAATAGAATAGGTTCAAGTGCAATCGTCAGTGCTGGGGGTGTGAGTAAGTCCCCTCAGACCCCCGTGAGATCGTACGTACTGCACAAGAAGGCTCTGCAGCTGCTGGGTGATGGATCTCTGCGCCTGGTCAAACAGCATCTGGTGAAACCAAGGATGTGTTAACAAGACTGTACAGCCACACATTCACTTTAATAATAATCCTTGTGTTATATGGCGCCGTGCACAAAACCCTGTCCTTACAGTCTTTAGTCTTTGTCATGTCAAAGTCATGCGTTTTACAGTAAAACACGTCAAGGGCAAAAACGACAGACGGCAATAGAGCATACAGTAAACACAATTCTAAGTGAGGAAGATTCGAATGGGTTTAGAACGGGATTTGAATGTGCTGACTTGACTTGCACGATCAGATATGGGCTGGAAGTTCATTCTACAGTTTTAGAGCAACAGAACACGAAGCTCCGTCTCCCAGGGTCTCCCACTGTTCAGAGCTTTGTGCTGGGAACTGAAAGTCTGAAGAGCAAGAACAACATGTAGGCGTACGGAGGGGTTAACAGTTTCCTGATGTAGTCAGGAGCCAGACCATTCAAGCTCTCAAAGGTGAGCAGTATTTTGAATGTTATTCTGACGTCGATAGGAAGCCAGGGAAAGGAAGCTAAAATGGGAGATATATGCTCTCAGGGGTTTTGGTTCATCTCTGAGCATCTGAGCTCTGAACATGCTGCAGAAGGCTCCCGAGTGGCTCGATACCATCAGTACCTCGCCTCCAATCAGGGATGAGCATATCGGCTGGGGCTGTGTTAAAAGGGGAGTGGACCTTTGTTGGAAATGAATACAAATAAAGAGAAAAAAGGGGAATGACTCTAGGATGGGAAGAGTCTGCCCTCCACTTCCTCATTCTCCCCCGTGTGCGGTTGCAGGGTTTGTAGCTGCAAGGCCAGATGTGAAAAACACACAACAAAATGAACCATGGCAATATTATATGATGCAAAGACTTTACAACATTAATATTTGTGCTGTGTACAAAATGCTGTTGAAAGATATTCATGCTTTAAAGACAATGGCTTAGTTTAAGATAAATTTAGTTTGCTATGCTGGCTTAGTTTAACAAAACACTAGACGATCACTTTCCAAATATGGCCAGAGGTCATAAGACTTCATCTAAGTGTTAACCATAGAATAATTTACTGAATATCTTCTGTTTTTTAGCTATAAAAAATATGTTTTGCGGTAGTGGCTTGGTATAGAATGCTTTCATATTTTTACGTTCTAAAAAATATTGAATTTGCAAATCTTAAAGCACTGTAGCCATACTATTAGTTTCAAAAGGTCATTCAAAATTCATTGCTCAATAATGTGCCGATCCTAGTTCTGCTCCTGCACACTGCATTATACTGTAAAAGCACTGTGCTGTAATTCAGTGATGCTAAGGGCTTAGTACTACAGAAGAAGGGCATGTAACCAGGAGGTTCAAGGTTCAAGCCTGAGCTGTTGCACAGACCAGCAGCGTTATACCCTGAATATACTACTATCTTTTGGTTAGTTGCTGTTAAGCAGACCTACAGTATGTACAGTACACTTGTGCTCTGTCCTTTGGAGAAGATGTAAAACAGAGGTCCTGTGGTGGGATTATAGCAGAAGTTGTTTATAATAGTAATATCCTTACACTTATATAGCAGTTTTCTGGACTTTCCATTCAAAGCACTTTAGTCCTGATGGCCACAGCCATGTTAGCAGATCTTAATGACGACCATCAAATGTTTTCACATCAGCCCACTACAGAAAGAGCACCTAAGATCTGGGCAAACCTTGGTCAACTCTCAAAACATCTCCCACACCCACAGAGCAGCTCACTGTTTCACAGACTCACCGTGTGGAAATGGATCATTTCTTGTAGTCCCTGAGTGAACTGGCCCAGGCAGTTCTAAGGGAGAGAGGGAGACAATTCAATCACCGATAGATGCACAGAGGTGACAACTCGCACTTCCACACTCGCTCAGACTTCAGCTCACCATGACAGTGCTGTCTTTTTGGTGGTACTGGGAAAGCTCTTTCACAGCTCCAAGGAAAAGCTCATTAGCAGAGTTGTATTCTTGCCCAGCTTCCACCATCCTGTTGCACAGCTTCATGACCTGGTCAGAAGAGCAAGCCAATTAATTTACTGTCTTCTCTTGGCCAATGGATGACCAGTGCTGTCTCCAGCCTCCAAGACGAAGCACAAGGCTGGCTAGAAACAGCGAGATTAAGGATGCACCATGCATATCTTATCCACCAAGCTACACACCAAACGATCAACAACACGTACTGTAGGTGAATTTCAAGGAATACAGTGAGACAGGATAATTTAAAGAATATGATAAAAGTACAATGATCTTTTTGTTAATTAAACCATGTTGGAATGTGGACAGCACTCTGGCACAGTGGTTAGCACTGCTGCCTTACAGCACCTGGGCACTAGGTTGTTTTGGCCCTGGGGTGCTGTCTGTGTGGAGTTTGTATGTTCTCCCCATGTTCGTGTGGGCTTCCTCCAGGCACTCTGGTTTCCTCCTCCTGTCCAATTTTTTTTTTTTAGCAAAAAATACTTAAGCTAAAATTAGCTGGCTTTTGCCCCAGCTGAACCCTAAACTTCCGGTGCTAACTTGATGACTTGAATTGATCCCCTTGCTGGTTTAACCTTGTCTCTGCACTCAGTCCTGAGTTTCATCAATTCAAATGGGGTACTGTTTCCATCTTGCTTGCCTTATTTCTGACTAAACAGCTTTTAACAGGTGATCGATTCGTGATGAACAGACACAGGTGGGCAAGACACTATGAGACACGCCCGCAGTGGGAGTGGCACTGTCAGAAGAGAGCCCCCTTTGGGCACGGCACCATCAGATACGCTCACATTATGGAGTAGGGGGTTGGTGCTGTAACGGACGCACTCACGGCAAGTTTTATTGTTCCGTTCTGCAGAGGTTACACTTCCCACAGCATACCTGAGTGACTTCTGGACCTCAGAATCTGGTACAGGGTTCATACTAATTACAAATCTGACCTTTCAAGAGCAGAAAGCAAATTTTAAAATGTATAGTAAACAGAAATTTTAAATTAATTAGCCGGTGAATAAGAACTCAGCTGGAATAAAAAAGTCATAGTGTTACCCCCAACACAAGGAACCACCATTTAAAGCACTGCATCTACTTCCTGCCACTCTACTGAAGGCAACAATTTGGTATGTCTAGTCCAGAGAGAAGATTACCAGCCACCTGCTGGTCCATCAATACCACTTCCAGCACCAACCTGATGTTAGACACATCCCATCTCTTTAACAACTGTTTCAGTCATGCTTAAATTGTCACCAAGGAGCTCAGGAGGCCAAGGCCAAGGAACTGAAGCCGTTGACAAAGTGTGGAGATAAAAAAAATATAATTTATTCTCCATAACAGCCTGCAAGGTAAGGTTTCCCAAACTGTAGCGCACACCTCAAGACGCTCACACGGACTAGTATGTGACAGGGTGGGGTCTTATGGACGTCGCTAAGGTGGTGTAGCTCTTTCCAACTTCCTGCTCTGGGAGATATCCTTGACATCACCAGCCCCAGTCCGACGCACCGGAGCTTCATCTCACCTTCTCCAGACGGCTCTCCAGCTCCGCCACCTCGTCCTCGCACTGGTCCAGCGTCCTCCTGCACACGAGAGCAGAGCAGTCAAGGGCGACACTCACATCGGCACCTTGACAGCAAGCGCGCTGCTGACGGCATTCGTCTTCACCGTGACCTCAGTTTAGATTTAATGCAGAAGCGTGTAGAGATAAATTCAAAATACAAAATATCACATCATCGATATATCTCCATCCTGGCGTCGTAGCGCAAAAAGTCATTCTATGATCGCATGTTCTTTCACTGACCTGAACGTCGGCGAATCTTTGATGCACTCTTCGAAATCCAGAAACGTATCCATTTTGTAAACTTCACGACTCAAGAACTAATGTTTGGGTAATACCGTTCTTAATACAAATACCGGACGTTACTTGTCCGATATAACTACTGCAACTGAAGCGAGCACTTCCCTGAGACTCATATCACGATCATGTTAAATTATGCATTCACATAATATTAATCATTACAATAATACTGTACGTACGTTACGCCAAGCCCATAACATGAGAATAGTGGTAAATGTACGACACTGGAAACCAGTACATTCATCTTTTAAACATAACGCAAATTACACAACACGTCATTAACCAAAATATTATTTTAAAACCGCACTAAACTCGGTAATTACCTGTAATTTAAAAATATTTATCAATCCTGATTAAATTATCCCTTAGTCTGCCAGAACATTTTTTTTAAATCCTTCGTTTTCACATAACAATTTCAAGAGTCCGTATACAGCACGTAAGTCGATCTTATATCATTTAGCAAATTCTAGGAACACGTATAACACGGTGAAACCCTGTAACACGACAGCGACATCTGCCAGGTTCCCAACTGAGCCGCTTCATTTAAATTTTCTGCGTCCCCCGACGAGCAGCAAATCCATTTTTTAAAGACGAGCAAGTAAAGCCACCTGCTACACACAAAGCTGAAATGTAACCGATTAAAAACCTCTGATCTCTCCGCTGCGACTTCTATAGATTCAAAGTATCTCTATCTCCT